TTTTTTGCATTTTTTCCAAAAAGTCATTGTATAGTAAGGCTTTTTTGTCAACTTACCACGTGTCAAAATATGATTTTTTTCCCTTTGATTTTAAACACAAAATATCTACATAGGAGCATGTTTTGGGGCTTTTTAGGGATCTTTTATTAGTAATTGGTTTTTAAATATTTCACCATGGATTTCCAACTATAGTAAGATGAGCTAATAATTAGTACCTGCAGTGGTGATGCAGCAGTCATGAGAGGATCTCCGTGTTTCACATCTTATCCACTGGAATGATGTCGATGGTCTTCATACCACCACAGAGAACGGAGCAGCCGCTGCTGAATGTCGTAGGCTGGCCTGAGGACATAGAAAAACAACTTGACTTAAACCTAAAAAATAAGCTCTTCTAAGACTGCTTGAGAAATTAAACATTAAACTACAGTATGAACTCCTGAAGTCAAGTGTCTATGGTGTAATTGATGTTTGAGTCTGTACTCTGTGATTGAATTTTAATCTCTTGTTGTACATTACTTATGGCCCACTTTGTCTCATCCATGAAATAATAACACTAATTTGCCTTAAAATACTTAACTATATCCATTTTTGTGGTTAAAATTCACTTTTTTGGTACGCCAACTTTTGATCACACTGAAATATTATAGCAATAAGTTCCTGAACAAATCTCCGAAAATAAAAGTTTCTCAAAAATGACTAAAAATACACTTATTTGCCTTACAATACTTAGCTATGTCAATTTTTGTGGTTAAAATTCAGAAAAAATACACTTTTTTGGTACGGCAACTTTTGATCACACTGAAATACTATACCAATAAGTTCCTGAATAAATCTCCAAAAATTAAAGTTTCTCAAAAATGACTAAAAATATACTTTTTTGGTGCACCAACCTTTGATCACAGTAAAAATAAGTCCATAAGTGCATTTCTATTCATTTTTAGGAACCTTTTAATTTTGAAGACTTTTTAGGCACTTATATAAGTATACTATGTTGGTTTTCATCAATGGTAGATGGAACAGACACATTTCGTTTTCTGAATTGTAACCATATGAAAGCACATTGCTACTTATTTTAAGAGAAATGAGTGCATTTTATTCATTTTTGAGAAACACAGGTTCATGTATTACTCATAGGTTGTAACACATGAAGGTCAAAGTATACAATGCTTTGTTGCACATTCATGTATCTCTATGTCCTTGGGTCTTTATGGTCCTCATTGTGGACAGACTCTGTGCTTTCAGTTTGGCACTTGCTGAGACACTGCTGACACAGAAGGCTCTCTTTGACCAGGTACAGCTTCTCTGTGACCATCAGTGATTCCTGATCAAACCTCTGCTCTGTCACCACAGGGTTTCTGTCCAGATTGACCTTCTCCAGCTTCTCCAGCTTAGACAGACAAGCAGGGATGCGGGAGAATCGGTTGTCCGAGAGGCCGATGCGACAGAGTTCCTTTAAGGCTCCGATGGAGGGAGGAAGGACCTGCAGCTGGTTCAGACCCAGGTTCAGGACATGGAGATTCTTCAGGAGGCCCACTTCACTTGGAAGTTCTGTGAGACGGTTGTTGCACAGGTTAAGGACCTGCAGGTTCTGAAGGCGGCCGATGACAACGGGCACCTGCTCCAACTATAGCACAAAAACTTTCTTGTCACAGTTGGCTAATATAATTGAACTATGTTAAGTGAACAGCATTTTCATGTCTTAACTCACATCCTTTGGCAGTATAAAGCCAGTGACTGGTCTTCTTTTAGCAGTTTTATGGTATTCAAACTTGTATTTTAAGAATTTAAGAATTATAAGAACCCCATCAACACTTTCTGACATTTACTCACGTAGTTACTGTGCAGATCTAAAACAGTGACATTAATACATTTTCCGATGAAGTCGGGAATCTTTCTGATCAGGTTCCGGCTCAGATCTAATTCGTCCACGTCGCTCAGCTTCTGGATGCACTTGGGCACAGCTGAGATTCCTTTAAAACTGAGGTTCAAACGTCGCCGTCCGTCCAGTGTGACCTCCACGTTGCTCTGAGCTTCTTTCAGGCTGATTGTTTTTCCTTCAGAACGTTTTGCCTTCTTCCCTCTGGCCATGTTGCGGCTGTTGAAGCACACATCTGTGGCTCTGTAGTTAACGTTTGACAGGAGAATCCAGAGATCATGTTCCTTAAACCTGACACAGTCCAGACGTGCAGCTGAAACATTAGATACACTTGAGGTTTTGATTTCACCTGCAACACAACACAGTCGTCGACAGGTAGACCTGAACGTACGTTCAACAACTCTGACTCTATCAGCTTTTCAGTAGCAGCCACAGTTATGTATCTGCTTCCTCGGTCTGGCCCTTTTAATAAAAGTAGTAGTACAGGAACTGATTTGTTTTAGAATGCTACATTCGTTTCAAATGTCAAGTGAATTATATTAAAACCAAACACATCCCTCATTTTCAGGAGTTCTTGGTATTCTTACAGTTGGGGACAAGCTTTAGCCCCATATAAAGCTTTTAAATAGTATATATAAAATATTAGCCCTTCATAAAGTGTGGAGAGCATGACATTTTTACATAACATATTTTTTAGGCTGACATTATTTTTCATTGCATAACATTTTCATCAAAACATCTAAAAAAGGATGGAATTATTATAATTATTATTATTGGAATATTTAAAAAAAAATAGTTATCTACATCCCCATGCCCTTAAAAAAGTAGGGTTTATATTTAAAAGCACTAACGCCGAAATGCCATCAGAGGGTGCTGCCTGCACACCGCTCATTGTTTCATGTTTATGCTGCTCTTAATACGGTTTAAATTATTGTCAAAGGTCTGATTTTTTATAAAGTATTATTGCTGCAGAATATAGACAATAAGGACATGTCTGTCTCATAAACAAAATGTCAAAACAACAGAAAGAGAAATTAAGAAAAAGAAGTAGTACAATAAGAAGAGGAAGACTTTGATAAAGAAAACTCAGAAAGCAAGACAAAGATGATGAAGAAAGACAAACAGAAGAAGTTAAATAAAGGAGATGGAGACAAAGAGGGAGGATTGAAAGAAGAAGAAGGAGGAGAAGGAGAAAAAGAAGAAGAAGAATAGAGGAAGGAGAAGATGAAGAGGATGATAATGATGATGATCTTGTGTTGTGAGTCAGGTTCCTCTGCTGACTGTTTAAGTCCAGGCCACTGCAGCTGCTGCTCTGTAGCGTGTGGAAAACTCCACCACAGAATGTCTGCTTGGTTTCTTTGTAATGTTAAACTACAGTCAAAGCCACAGCACTTTTTTGTTTCCTCAGAGCTGCATGTTTATTTCTTCCTCGTGTTTTTGTCATACTAAACAGCAGGATCTCACGCTCTAGGACTGTTAGCCAATCACAGTCATTTCCTTCAGAGCTACACACAGGTTAGCTCATGCATATGTTAGCAGATGGTGTCACACTAACTGAGGGACCGCTGCAGTTCAGATTACATCCAGTGATAACAAGGGTTACCTGTGTGTGTGTGTGAGAGAGAGCGCTAATAAACAGCCAGTATTGTGTGTGTGTGTGTGTGAGAGAGCGCTAATAAACAGCCAGTACACCTTCTGTTATTTATATAGTCATACTTTTTCGAGTTTTCATTTCCCTGCGGCACCTGCGTGAAACACATATCTAACCGCTGTTACGTATCTTTCTGTATACATTATAGACAATGCAAATGAAGCAAGTGTCTTACCTCAGTCGACCTTTCCTCTCCGGTGTTCCACTACTGTACAGAAAGGAGAACGTGTCTTTAAAGTCGCTCTTCAATAAAGCCAATATTACGTTATCGAGGCTAGGCCAATTCCCCCTTGTGTGTTCGCCTGAAACGCTTTAAACCCGCATCCTTAACATTAAGTTCCGGTCCCAAGTTTTCCGTAACATACACGTACACTTCTGCCTCCCTTATGTGCCTATTTTGGTACATTTTTTGGAGAGTTTACCGACATTTTCGGAGCGCCTACCGACCGCTTACCGACGCAGCTGCGTCACGGGTAAACGTCTGATTAGCGCGGCAAATTTGCACCTATCTGCACGCCTTGAGAGAAGCACTACTACTAAAGGTTGAGATTTTAACTTACTTTCAATCAGTGTTATTGTTAATTTTCATTATTATCAACATAATTGTTGATTTCGGGTTTATTATATCGAAGAAAATGTATTCTATTCACGTTCCACAAAGGTAGTGCGGCGGAGGGACACATTTCACGATGCGCTGTTAGGACATGTGATCGGTTGTTCGGTTTGTGCTCCGCTCACACGTTTAACAACGGCCAAAGGTTTGTATGCACGATGTCACCCTCTGTTGACTTTAAAGATCACAACCCACTGCCCTCACGAACAAGTTCCGGTCAAAACATGGGAGTGGAGCAAAGACTAAACAACCAATCTCATGTCCTAATAACAGCGCATCATAAAATGTGTGGCAACTCTCTACACAAGATCAAGGACCTCTACATTTAATCACTAACGGATTCTCCAAAATAAATACAATTAGTAAAATGTGACACTTCTGATGGAATTTTGACACTTTCCTTTACTCTCACATTATTCTTCCAGACAACTCCATAAAATGAAATTGATCAGAAACCACAGAACCACGCTCCATCTGTACACCTGCACCCTTGACCCCTAGAAGGTCAGCGGGGGAAAAAAACTGTACTTGCAAAAACATTCCTGTTTGCCAGCAGTAGCTGAGCTCCTACAGCAGGACTGGGAGTCAACCGGGTTCATTCTGTGTCCAAATGTCCCAAGTTGACCGGCAGTACCATGTACTTACAGCAGGGATCACAGAGGACACCAACAGCCTTCCAACATGGCCCAGGGTCCAACACTGGACACTGGATCGAAAACATCCAATTGGGAGTCCGTCTTGAAATTCCCTCTTCCTGTGATTTCCTTCTGCTGTAGTCTGTCATTAGCATCTTTTTCAAGGCAGCTGTAGTTGTGTATTACTGTAACCACACAGGATGTTGTCGACAGTACACGCTGTGTTTTACTATGCATAGTGTTTCTATGCACTGACATGATGTGTACACAGACTTTAACAATGGGTTTTGTTTAGCTATTCCACCGGTGACATCAGCTGTTTCTTTTCTTGAAGCAGCATCCATAATCCTGCCGCCCAGACATGCGGCCCACATCCATTTATACCATAACCCTCCATCTACACTTCCCCTGTGTGACCACCAAAAATGCAATGTGACTTCATTAACAATCCCACATACTTAAAAATATTTGGACTTCATTTACTTTACCTGTGTTTTACAGCTGTTGGAGCCACCACTTCCATTTTCTTGTGTTTTCTTTGTAGGTGAGGTGAGTGAAGAAAACTTCTGCCAATCATTTTCTCGTACATACACTTCCTTCCTCTCTTTTCCTTAACATTTGAAAATAATACTGAGGTCGCTGGTAAACTAACCCTACATTTTCAACTCCCCCTCTCTTATTATAGCGCCTCATTTGCCACAGAAGTAGCTGACACCCATGCTGACTCCAGGATCCACCTCAGTCACGTCATGTCAGCATGGAGGTGATCTGGTCTGGTTTTCCTGGAATGTCCTGAGAACCAGATGTGATGGATACTGGATTTTCTGGATGGAGAAAAATATAATTTGAGTCAATAGTTGTGATACTTTTGTAATGAAACAGATTTATTAAATCAAATAATTGTACAGTAGTAGGGTTATTGTTGTCCCTTGTGGCTGTTTAAGATATTGCTGCACTTCCTGAAAACCTGGTTAGAGAAAATCACAACATAATTGTTATCAACTGCTCATATTTATTTACAAAAAAGTGATAGAAATTGGAAAAAAAATAAATGTACAGAAATGATCAGGATCCAAGAGAGCCACAGAAACAATGATGATGCAGAGGTCAGTGAGCTGTAGGAGCAGTGAGAATAAAAACCAAAGCAGAGTGGCACCGTTTGTGCACATGGTACCAGTTAGTTGATGTCCATTAAGGACAATGTGGTCTGGAATAAACTTTACATTTCACAGTTAAAGGGAGTTTTTTCATGACACTTCTACCCTGCACTGCAAGGTCACAGTCAGGCTTTATATACACACTCAAGACAGAAAACAAAAACTAAAAAAACAAGAGTAAGAGGAGAGTTTGACCAAGTGCAGAGGCCAACAGTGGGTTACACTGTAAGTTAATATTTAGTAAGAGAAGGAGGGGAGAAAACTGCAGCCTTCTGGTGGAGAGGCTGGTCGTTACACCCATGTTGGAGCACATCCTCAGAGTTTAGACAACGTTGAAATCTCAGGACATCTATTCAGGGTTGTCACCACAGTAATTGACAGCATGTCAAAATAGTCTTTCTGGTGGTGTGTTTGTTTAAAAAAGGTTAACCAGAACATGAACCATAAACAACACCAACCTAAATATTTTAGATTTTCAACATGTACCAGGTTGAGAAATTCCCCGGAGTTTGGGGCAGAAACAACAGTAAAAATCTCTTGATGCAGGCTTAAGCTAAGCTATAGCCCCTGTAAAACATATTGTTGACCTTAGAAAAACTGAGGTACAGATATTCAGCACATACGAAAGTCCTATGTTTTTTTCATGAGTCCAAAATGTCACCTATTTTGGGAGAAAAAGCTCAATAAACCAGGAGATACTTTAGAATTATTTAAATGCATCTAAAAGTTAGCCCAAATGCAGCAACAACTAAAGTCAAGTCAAGAACAATACTAAATATTAGTCTCAAATTTAAAACAGAAAAAGTCATTGTTTTGTTGATAATACATCCCAGTTACTGCATCGTTAAACTTGAAATCCAAAAACATCATGAGATAAGGATAGGTAAAATGTAATGAACAATAAAATAAAAGAATAGTGTAGAGTAAGCAAAGGTTACCAAAAGGATGACTAAAAGTCAGCCCAGAAAATTGGCTTAAATGTAAATGAAAAAGAAGCGTTAGCCAAAGAAGTTAGCCAAGTTAATCAAGATGTTAAAGTGAGCTAAGATGATAGAATAAGGTTTGCCAATAATTTTAGTTAGTCAAGATTCTATATACTTAAATATTGTCTTTAAAGCTCAAATAAACTCTAAGCTCAACGTTTGCCGATCTCACCAAAAAGTATACCAAAGACAAATACTTGTTGAAAAAGTTACTTAATCAAATATAACTAAATATGACCTGAAGATAAAAAAAAAGAAAATGTAATTGTTATATCCCAGTACGTACATATATTCAAAATAAAAAGATTCAATAAATTTTGTTATTTTTTAGTAAGAACCACATTTTAAAGTAGTAGGCTGCAGTTCTTGAGTCATTTGAAAGCCCGCCTGCCAGAGAGAGCGAGGGAGAGATGGAGTGTGTGTGATGTCATCCATCTGCATGGGTAACCTCATATTAGATAGTGGAAGTGTGTGTATGTGGGTGGGAGAGGGGGCAGAGGGGTGAAATCTGGTGCCTTTGTGTCTGGCCTTAAGTTCATGGTTTGAAAAAGAAAAAAAACAAAAAACAAAAAAACAAAACTGTGTTTCTTTTTCCACATAGGAACCCAGAGGATCATTGGATGGAAAAAGACTCTGTGCAGTTTAACGCTCAGATTCAAGTGAGAAAGAAACAGAAGCTGCAGCAAAGACATTCAGCTGACACTTATCTAAACAACACAAACAATGAAATGATTTTAAATGGTTGATTTCCTTAGTGTCAATTCATCCAAAAACACCTTGTCATCGTAGATCAGGGGAAAACAATTGTTTGTCGGTTTTTCTCAGTCTAAAACTCTCTGTGGTTTACAGTCCAGAAAGTGGTGTTATCCGATGTACAACTCCACCATTGCATGTACTGTATAGAATGTTTGCTAATGCTAACAGCCTGTTAAGTTGACGTTGGCAGCAGATTAAAGGGCAGAGTCTCGGGGACTTGCCCACAGGGTGGAGGTCGGGGTCTAATCAGATCTAATCACTAGGTTATTATCAACTTTGTGAATTGTGGTCGTTATGAGAAGCAGCTGATGATTCATAACAACAGGGGTCTCCAGTTTATTCTACCTCCTGGTCACAGACCACTTCACTCTGGTCTGGAGCCCAGTTTAAGGTGTGGTAGACAAAAAAATGTTAAACCTGAGTGATTGTTATCAGGTCATGAGTTAATGACGGACAATGACATAATGCTACATACATTCACATGAAAATGCCAGTGTATTTTTTTTAAAACAATGTTGACTTAAGAAGGTGAAGCAAAGCCCGTGGGTCAATTTGTAACTTAGCGAGTATCTTAGCATATAGTAACAAAGTTTGAATTAGGATTTGGCCTAACGTAAAACTTAGCATTTAGCATTTAGCTTAGCTCATAATCTAGACTGGAATAGATCATAGGACTAGATTAAAGTAAAAAAAAAGTATGCACATGATTATTCTTTTTAAGTGCTACATATTTTTATACTTCACAATGTGTTTTAATACAAAACACAAACTATAAATAGTCAAGACTTTTTACACTGGGCACAGTTTTTAGTGGTGTATAAAAGTGTGTGTGTTTTTTTTCTCATAGCTGCTGCTCCTCGAATAGTATCTGAGCGTAAACAGTTCCGTTTTGTGATGCTTTAGGTTCCGGTACTGGCTTCACCAGATCCAGCTCTGCATACGTTAGGTTCTCCTCCACTATCTTCGGCTGAAGATTTCGAGACAAAATAAAGGGGCAGAGAAGAAGAGAGTGTAGTCAGTATTACAGTGGTTAGGAACACAGATGAGTCTTTTTTTTTTAAAAGATGTGGAATTCCATTAAAATAATTACAGGCTGAGTGTTTGAGAGAAGAAGAGATGGATGATTCTTACCAGCACAACTTTCCTGGGTTGTGGTTTTAAAAGTTTAGGTTTCTGGGTTTTGTCTGTGATGGGAGCTGCATGGACAAAACACATTCACAGTAGTTCAGGGCAGTTCTTTGCAGAAACAGGAATATATATTGTCAAAACCAGGTGACAGTACCAGGAACTGTTTGTATTTTTTACTTTAGAGACAATAGAGAAGTAAACAAAATAATCTTGACTGTTTTGGTCTCCAATGGAGTCCACAGAGAGTATTTTGATATAATTAAACTGTTATCATTTTTTTATTATAGAAATGTTTGTCTTAATTGACTGTATAACAAAATAAATACTGAAATCTAATCTCCATAGAAAACAAAAAACAACAGCGCCCCGTAGTGGTCACCAAATAACTACTTAATTTTAAAGATTTTAACATAGTAAAAATAGTATCTTGTAATTTGTTATAATTCACCAATATTAAATAAATAATTAAGCAATAGTATAAATTCATGTATGCACTGAAATGCCTTTATGTTTTTTTAATGCTGTAATAATCTAACTAGGAAGACAATTTATTTGGCTGCCAACAGCTAAACAACGTAGTGTCAAAGTCTTCTGTTGTTGTCACAGTAGAAGACTCTCCACTGGATCACTTCATTATAAATAACTAGACAGAGTTCAGTAAACACAGGCAGCGCCACATTTAAAAGCATCTCAAATTTAAAACTCACAGCCTAAAGGACAATTACAAAATACTTAAGGATAATTACACAAAGCCACAGAGCAGTACTGCTTCCCTGCCACACCATGATGACCCCGAGGAGGGTAATAAACTGACAGGAAAATTCCACTACATTTAGTAATTAATTATATATTTTTTTTACCAAGTTGTGGTTTTGCTGGGGGATGGGAGAAACTCCTTCTGTGGATGTCAGCAAACAGGGCTCAGGAATAAATGTTGGGAAAATTTTGGGAACTGACTTGATTCTATTTAATGTTGTTTGTCTGATTACTTTTATGGCTTTTCTCACTACTGTGATGGTCTTCTTAGAAACATTAGAGAGATGAAAGACCTTTGGCTGGTATCTCTGGTGGTGTCTCCTCCTGGTGGTTCCTGCTCCTCTTCTTCCTGTACCTCCTCTCCTTTTGAGGCAGAGCTGGAGACATGCTGACCACACTGGTGACCGTCTCTCCTGAGCTAAAATGGGAAATGACGAGGGCATCTATCAGCACTGGATCGGCATATTTTTAGGTACAAGTATGAGTATTTCAATCAGTATTACTCTGAAGCGGTACCTGTTCTGTGGACTTTTGACCAGGTGGTAATTATCTGTAAAAAAGACACAAGCTTATGATTTAAAACCTGGTACAGAGGGGAGGATCATTTTCCTTCATCTTGTCGCTGCTGCTCACCTTTTAGCCTCTGCTTCCTCTGTATGTACTGACAGGTGATAGTGACTGTGAACATGCACATGCACAGTAGACCCACTGAACAGATGAGCACTGCACACAGATACACATCTGTAACATACAAATAAACACACACACACATTAGAACAGCAGCCTCTTGTCGGTGATTCACTGCACACAGAAATCTGAAGAAATAAAAGATATGTGTATGTGTGTGTTTGGGTGCTCTATTTAAGGCAATGTTTTAACCTTTGAGGTTGGATTGTTTTTGTCTGCCAAGAAGGACACGGAGCCAGGATACTGCCTGTGTGAAACACACTCACACAAGCTAAAAATGTGAGGAGTTACCTTCAAACAAGCTCCACAGGCTGTCCTTGTCCTCGGCAGCTGGTAGAACATGAACTACAAAGACAGAAAGGAAACATGTGAAAGTCTGTAGTCATCACTGTGGCTTCACTGCCTTATGATTACACACTGGCCTCGGTCTAAATAAAGCCAAACAAAGGTGGACCTCCTCCCAGCCAGTCTCAGTCTCTGGTTCACTGTTAGGACGAAAACTCAGCTTGGACCAGAACAAGACAGGGATAAATAACTCGTTAACCCAGACAATGGTGCAAACAAACTTCATGTTCATTCAACACAGGACTCTTACATGTGGAACATGCTGCTGAGGTGCAGCAGAGAAACTTGCAACATTTAAGAACGTCCCATCCTTATCTATGAGACATGTTTTCTTCTACCATAAAGACAGGGACAGTAGACACCGAGTGTCTGGATCCAATCCAAATATTTTAGGATAATATAAGTCTACAGACTTTTTAAGGTCTTTAACAATTACCAAAATCCAAACTGCTAAATATTACAGCAGCAGAGCAGAGATTTTGTTGCATTAAGAAAATAAAAGTTTTTATATACATCCATCTACCAGTCCCTCCATACAGAAGAAATAAATGAATAACTTTAGCCTCGTCTCCTTCTATTCGGCCTCCATAGCCGTAGCCTGCGAAGTGATTTTGCACAGTTTTCTTTTTTTTTTTTTTTTTGCACCTGATGCCCTCTTTGAGGCAATGTAACCTGGAATGGAGACTAGTTGGAATCAAACCAAGAACCCCCTGCACGGCGGGTTGACCCTACCACATGCTATTGTAGTCACTAACTAATTAAACTAGTTGTCTAAGCCTTTCACTCGTTCTGGTAAATTGCCCTAAATAACCTGTAATTAGACCAAGAAAAATACGAGTGAGTACACAAGAAATTTAAGTCAGATTTACCTTACACTGGTCAGGTAGGGGCCTCATAAAATGGGACATGTGACCTGGTAGTTGCCAGTTAGACACCTCTAAATATGATGCATCTGTTCAGAGCTGCATTTTCTTTAAACCAAAATAAATATTTGGATCCCTCACAAATAGATGAGCCAAAACATCTCACAGATCAAGATGTTTTCTTCACATTCCTCGAAGCTATGGTCTGACAGCCTTCTGTACAAAGTTCTCAACATCCCAACATAAGCCTGCACAACTATAATCCAAAAACCACCAGCAGCCACAGCGGAGGAGTTGAAGTTTTCTGAGCGCAGCCTAAATCTGGACTGAGAATCCCAGCTATGTGCTGCGTCTGTTGAAATTAGCCTCAGAATAGGTTTCCCATACTGCACATAAAATCTGCTGCACTCTCTCTGCCTTGTGCGACCACAGTCGCCTTAACACCACCGGTCTTTACTGAGCTGGTGTGACAGGAAGTCACTGTGCGAGGTGACACCCATCATGGCATCTCTGAACCCCCCACCTCCCCCCACCCCCGAGACATGGGCGGCCGACGACAAACAGGCGCAGCATCATCATCACCACCACGCCATCTGCAGTGGTTCCCACAGGCAGAGTGGCTGCACAGTGTGTTGAATGACAGAGCAGTGAACATGACTCCAGATAATCCAAACACTTCATCCAAACATGGAGAGAATAGATCTTTGAAAATTGCTGTCACTGGATGCAAATACAGACTCAGGAGATAAATTAAAAACTGTGAAACATCTCATGAAGCAGTGGCATGTTTACAGGCAGATCTTCAGCTCTCAGAAAACTCTGGATAAATCATAGAAAACAGAGTCGACAGGGTTTTAAACCATGGCGTTTCCAGTTTCCCTGACGTCCAACCACTCATTCTGTTGTAAAATATCCTTCACATCAACTCAATTTTACTGCATGGCGCCAGAAAAACACAAGACCGACAACACACTCACATTTCATAATCACTTCATGTATTTGATGTTTTTACAATTACTTGGTACTAGAGTACAATCACAGAGTACCCATGTACCTATTTAATGATGTCTTCCTTGCACTTCTATCTTTTATATGGAAAGTTAATGACAAATTACATTCCGGGAAAACGACCCCAGGACTTGGCCCACAACTGTGAAACCATGAACCCCACACTCACCATATGTGACCTACATTCTGCTGTGCATCTGGAATTAATATAAACCAGGATATAAAATGTCCCTGCATTTTCACTGTGATTTGAAAATTAGGTTAATCCTGGCATCTTGTCCAAAAGTGTTTTGCTCAATTAGACACGTGGAGAAAATAAAATGAAAATGTCTGGTCTACAGAAACCTGGGCGCCTGCAAAAGTACCACTGTCATCAATAAATCAATAAACTGTTACTATGGATATAGTTTAGATCAAACTAAAAATAATTGATGATAATGAGTAAATGTCAAAATGTCTTCAATCCAGACAAACTGACTAACATCTTGGATTATCAGTTTTGGAATGAAGTGATGGACACAGATCCATGAAGAGATTCTTTCTCTTCTCTTATCCTACATCAGGGCCTCCTACGCAAAAGTCCAGAAGAGGTGATGACAAAAATCTGCCAGAATATATCAATTCCCAAGGTTGCCCTGTAGGAGTTGACATCCATAAAAAACAACAGGGATTTGAAAAGTCGTTCAAGGGTTGCAACATGGTCTACTCTTTCTTTTCCATAGAGCGGATTCTTATCTATGTCTGGGATCTGCAAAACTGTGACAAGATGTCAGATATAAATCTGTTCAAGGACTGTTTTAAAACAAAAACAAAGAGAAAAAAAGGCTGAAAAAATGGTTGAAATTAACAAGAGTTCCAGAGGACTTTGGTAAACCCAAGTAGTCACTAATAGTCCAATACAAGACTGACATACTCAAGGTTACTCTCCCTGTGATTCTACACAGCACACATGGTTTAATTTAGGCAGAAGCAAGTAATAAAATCCTAGAAAACCCCAGGATTACCAGAGAACACCTTCCTTTGCTGCCTGTTAAGACGACTCCCAGAGATGACACTGGTATTTAACTGCAACCTTGGATCAATGTTACAGCTGGAATGACTTAGTCTCAAATTTAATGATGAAAAACACATGAATTTAATGTCTTCTTTGTCCCAGCTACATCTCTGTTCTCATCATTTTCACAGTAAGTGTTCCCTTACACATGAAAATCCTAAGGTTTCATACAACACAACAGCATCTGTGACAAATGGATCCCAAATGGAATCATCAGACCTCACCGTCCATGATTTAAACCAGGTTTTCTCTGTCGTTACAAACAGCAGATTCATTTAACCTCCTCATCCACATTAAATCATTCGCAGTGTAAATCATGATAACACTTGTTCATCCCAGGCTGTGTTTCCATTTGTCAGCGGGGCAGCTGTACATCTTGGAATAATCAGAAATTTGGGAACTGCCTCTCATCCTCATCGACAAAAATCTCCTTTTTTTGCACCAACACAACTGAATGACTGGGGCCTGGATGTGGAAAACCTCTGACAGTTGACTTTTTGTTTGTCCGACCCACAGAGTTTTATTCAGTTGCTGACTGTATGTCAGATTTGCGCCAACAAACCCAACACTGTAAACATCAACACAAAGACGGATGCTGGGGGTGAATAATGAGCCTTTGTGTCTGTCAATGCTCTGGTGAACAGAAAGATGACACAGTGCTCTGTGTCACTTCAAAGCTATAAATAATCAGCCCTTTAACTTCCTGTTGTGTTCCTGCATACTTTCTGCTACAGCAGCATTTTGGCAAGGCAAAATGTGTTGCCAGCAGTAATTCTTAGACTTAGGAGAAGGTCAGAAGGCGTTGCTCTGTGTCTTTGTGGATTCAGAGAAAACATACGGTACTATTCTCTGCCATGCTTTATAGGTGACTTTCCTCAAAAGGGGATTGTCATTTACAAATCTAAACCTGAATTTTGATTTGCTTGATTTTTGATTTGGTTGTAGGTAGTAGTGGTAGTAGCAAGTATTGTTATACTAGTGGAGTTCAGGACTAATGACTTGATTATTGGCTATACACAAAGTCCATCCACTTTGCTAAACAGAGAAAATCGCCCTAACTTGACTAATATGTTACCGTGACCTTCATTCCCTTCTTCAGACAGTTCCTTCTGGAGTTAGGGATTATCCAGAGGTCAGTGTTCCTTCTTTAGTTAACCTCAGGCCACATCCGTGTGTTGTGTTCCACTTGGAAACCGTTCCTATTTTTAACTCACACTCACCCACATGTGTTTCAGAATGACCCAGAAGTCAGGTTTGTTTATGCCAAGAAGGCGTGCGGAGTGAGTGGAGTAGTGGGAGGTTCGGTGTGTGGAAACACCTGGTCACCTGGTGTTTTCGTACCAGGAGAATTCCACTCTAAACATGTGTGTGTGCCCATTAGGTCATCTGCTCAGTCTCATCTGAAGTGGGAAGCTGGACCCACGGTCCCACAGGGATGCTAACACCTCAACCGTTCAGCTGATGTTTACTATAACTGTCAACTGTGGGGGAGGGGCACAGAAACCAAACAACCAGCTGGTCTACAAACAGAACCAAGTTCTGGTGAATTCTGATCCTTCACCTGTGTGTTTTCAAAGTTGTTTATACGAAAGATTCCATTTATTTTCCATGTTTTTAGTAAAAACATCACATTTCCAAGGCCAGTGATGTCACTGTGGACCACACATGGTTTTATTTGTGTGCAAAGTGTTAAAGCAGCAACCATTCCACAGTAGATGGAAGGGTGACGTTAAGTGCCAAAAATGTCTACAGATGTTGCAATTGTACTGTGAGTTTGTACTAATCTGTGAATGAAGAAGCTGAAAACCACACAGATAAATACAGATGAAAAATAAACATTTTCTTGTTTCAGTTCATGTATATACAGTATTTCTACACTGATTCATCAACCAAAATCAGTGGCATTGAAAAACTTACATAAAAAATGAGTAGTTGAAATGAATTACTGTAATTAAGGTAATTTTTAAGTAGTAACCATGAGTGATATGTTAACAGGAGTTGAGGTCAAATTAGTTAAAACAATAGTTAATGAAAGCTAGCTAGGCAGCTGGTGCACTCGAACCTGAAGCCTTCCAGTCCCAAGGCAGCTGGTGTACTCGAACCTGAAGCCTTCCAGTCCCGCTTATCCACTAAGCCACCACTGCCCCAGCAACCACTGCCCTGTTAAGTAGGAGACACTGTCACCTGCAGAAGAAGTCCTGTCCTAAGGTGTCTTGGTCTATGATGGAACACAGAAGCAGGTCTACCTTCTGGACCAGAGAAGGTCCAGAGACAGACAGGAGCCACCAGGCAGTGATAGGATGTTTGTTACTGCCCAGTGCAGACAGAAACCTTCCTCGGCACTCTCTGTCTCTGTCACTCCATGGAGGAAAACTCCATGTCAAAGCCAACATTAACAATTCTCCAGTGGGTCTGGATGTCTGAGTCCAGACTTGGCTGTTGACACCCCCAGTGTCACAAGTCTGGAGGAAACACTCCCATGGAAAATGTGGTAAGCAGTGTCTGATTCAGTTCACAGTGGGGAGGGACACTCAGCGCTGTGGCAACAAAGTTATAATTTGTTCTGCAGCCTCTTCTGCTACTGGAACTATTTTTAACATTCTGGCTACTTCTTCTAATTCAGCTATCATGCTTATTTCAGACACTTCTGCTTATTTCAAGATATCTGCTACTTTGGCTCCTTCTGTGACTTGGGGTATTTGAGACATTTTGGCCCACTTCTACCACCAGAAGGTTTTAGGCTCAAGACCACCTAGTCCCCAAATGAGTTGTGCCACCAAAAATAGTGCAAAAATGGCTGCAAGTTTGTCAGACTTATTCTAAATGATGAGTGAAAACACAGCAACAATTAATCAACTCAAGAGCTCCGGCTGTAGTTTCTAATGGTTTTAATAAGTGTACGTCAAATTAATTACTGTTAATGAGACACGTACAGGTGTTTTAGTTTGTCTGGTCAGTTGTCAAATCACTGTCTGTTAGCTACAAATTTCACAACTGAAGTATTGCTGTGTAAGAAGCTGCTCCACAGATGTAGATTCTAAGGGTTCTGACAGTGAAATTCTGCTGCTCACATCTGTTCTCTCAATCAGGATCCATTTAAAATCTTTGATACTTTGTGAGTAAAAACATATCTGGTGTCGGCTGATGTGTCGTCTACGACCGTTCAAACAAACCTCTCCCTTCTTTTACTCTCCCTCCAACACTAACTCCTCCATCAAAGCCACCACTCATTATAACGACCAATCTTTTTTACCCCTGGGCTTGTTCCTAACCGTTGACGATTCCACTTCAAACCAGAACCAGGACGTTGCAGTTACTCACAGTGAACTCACTTCACAGAGCCATCAAACAGATGTTTTACATCGTCAGGTCAAAATATTACAACACAAAGATTATCCCTCTGATTCTATCTGATATGTAAAGTATTCATTTCAAACAAATATGCATGTGCAGACAATTGTGTGTTTCGTCCTGTTCCCTGCTCCACCTCTGAACGTGCTGATGTGCTCACTGCTGCCATCTGCTCAGCCTCAGTCTCAAATCTCTGCTGCTGCTGGCAGGGGAACATATCTGTAACCCAAACTGGCATCTGCTTCAAACTATCTGCGGTCAAACAAAACAGCATTTGTCACTGCTTCTGTTGTGGCTGCTCACATTATTCAGCCTCGGCCCAGCTCTAATAAGAGCAGTGATGTCATTCTGACAGAAAACCAAGAGACAGAAGTTTTCCAACAACACCTCATTGTAGCAGTGTGATACGGAGGTTATGCTGCTTTTTGCTTTCACCTCTTTCATAGGTTTATTTTACTGTGTGCTAATGATAACAACCACAGCTGTCACTAAGTATCAACATTTTGATGTTATTAGCCCCGTACGCAGCGTTACATTGTTACATTCCATAATCACTATCTAACGCAATCAACTATTTGTCATTTTTTTGAAAACTCTTTTTGTAATCTGTAAAATATGACTTAGGCAGTTATGCTAATTAAGCTAACAGTATAAAAAGCTGTGTTGTTGAAGAAGCTTGTTTAGCATAGCTGGACCTTAGATTGCCCCTCAGTTTAAGATCACAGTGATGCTAGGTTGTTTTAGCTAGCAGTCCAAAAGAATCTTTGGACTGGATGGGGGGTCACCAAAGTATCTCAAAAGCATTTTATTTTTTGAGTATATCTCTCTTTTTGGTGAATACTTCCTTATTTTATAAACTTTGCTTTTGATACCCCACCATGTCTCTTAAGGAGACAATCATTCATCAATAGTCATATTATAATGTCAAACTATTTCCTCACCTCTGAGCTCCGTGGATGCTGTAGAGTTGGACGCTGCCTTCCATTTGTCCTCGTGCTTTTTAAACTCCTGCACTCTACACATGTACAGCCCGCGGTCGTCCTCTGAAACGTTCAGGATCAACAGGTCAAAGATCTTACCCTGCTTCACCACCGTCAGCTTCATTTTAGGCCAAGGGAAGCTCTTGGTATAGTTGCCATAGAAACGGGCTTTCCTCATGTTGACACGAGCAATTAAATGTTCTTCCTCTGAACGGTCGATGCCCAATGGTAAAAAGGTCCATTTTACTACTGGTAATGCTGTGTTTCGCCGCCGCTGGGATACCAGACAGGTGAGAGTGATGTTTTGACCCTCCTGGGCCACTGTGAAAGGAGACGGGGTGATGGTGACGTTGATGGACAGACACAAATCTGCAGAAGGAGATTCAAGAGCCACAGTCAGATCCATTTTATCACTACCTAGATGTGGATATTGTATCTATGGAAGCTCAACACAAGATACACAGTCTTAAAAAAAAATTTAAATATTTAAAAAGTATAAGTTGATAAAGAATGTAATGCAGAGTAAATCCATGTTACATTTTAGCTAAAGTAACACGAAATAGCTAATAGCATGAAGCAAAAAGAAACAAGAAAAAAATGAAAAAAACTTTACATCACAAATTGTAAAAAAAATAAGAAAAAGGAAAACTGGCAAACAAAAATATAACTAAAACGGCTAAAGCTAACCAAATACGATGTTAACAATATGAGTACGAGTTTAAAAAAACACCTAAAAAAATGAATGCCTTCTAAAAAGTAGATATTGTAATTGTTAATTGTAAGCTGACAACTTTTCCAGACTGGCCATTAACTAAAGTAAATAAGAAATGAACTAATGAGATTCACAGTATCTATATTAGCGGTGTTAAACCTATAAAAGAAAAATCAGAAAAGTAAGAGAAAGTTTACACCTACATATTATTTCCAAATTCATCTGCTTCCTGTTGTGCCTCCCAGTAAATCCCTGTGAATTACAGGCTAATAGCTCAAAGCTGGGCTGAATTAGGAGCAGCTCAGTGAACTTTCCTTTTCTCACGTCAGAGCAGGAAACCAGAGTCAGCAGAGGGACAATTGTACTGAAAGAGTTGGTTTAACAGGAGGAAACTCTACGTCCTGACTGAGCCCTGGACTCACAGGGTGTGTTGTGGTTGTTCTACACACTTTCCTCTAACGCTGACAGAAGGACCTGTCGTTTTTAGGCCGTGACAACATATGAGGGTGTCACGGGATGACTTAGCGTCACGGCTGGACGTGTTGTGTGACAGTATTTAACACATCTGGTCTTTTCTGTCCAATCCTTGGAAAAACCTGTTATTCCACACTGTCCCTGACACAAGCTTTTAAATTGTTCCAGTAAAGTCAGACAGCAAACTGATTCATTGTTGTCAAGTCATTTATTTACTCTAAAAATCTGACCATTAAATTCAAATCCCAACACCAATTATTTAGGTTGTATAAAAATATCATACTTCTGTTAAATTGCTGTGGTGTTTAGAGTTACTTTATCACAACTTTCTTACTGCAAAGGTTTCTACAAAATGTTTGCAAGATTACACAACAGGCAGAAAACTCACATCAGTGTCTTAAGGTGTAAAGTTAGCAAGATGTGACTGAAGATTGAGTTAATGAAATTCAAAGCATCCAAAAAGCTAAGAAGAAATGAAAATAACTAAAGAGTTATTCCAGTTAATCTAGTTACTAGGTTACTAAAATGGCTAAACATAAGCCTTTTAGTAGCTGAAAGGTTGCATTAGGAAAAACGAATGTTAGTTTAAACAATAGCTTTAATGAAGAAGCTAATATGTAACCAAAATATAGCATAGAAGGCAAGTTTTGCCTAAAAAGTTTGCTTAAAGTTAGTAGCAAAAAGCTAAAAATACAAAAACTCAAATTGAGGATTTTCAGGAAGAAATGGCAAAACATAAGGTGTTTCTTAGATAAAAGTTAGCAAAGAAATAACTTATGTACACCTACGGAATATTTAAAAATAAGGAAGAAATAATTAAAACATTTTGAAGAATTTTGAGGAATTTGTGTTACTGTGGAAATGATACAAAAAAACCATAAATCCATGTAGCTAAGGGCAAAATACAGTAAGGAATAAGGTTTCAATACACAATGGCTGTGGGCCACATAAATCCTGTCAATGTGCCATGACTGGACAAGGGCCAGATTTTGGACGTGCTTGGTGTAAATAAAATGCATGTAATGAATGTAAAGTCAGAGTAGATCCTTCAATTTTCTCTGTAAAAGTTCCTGTCATTTTAATCAGAACTACGTGCTGCCGCGGAGAACGTGTCAGTTTCATACCAACACACCCTTCAATAACACAGAAGAAGAACTTACTGTACAGAAGCAGTGGAAAATGAAACACATCTTAGAAACAGTCCAGACCATTGGTAGCATCATCCTCCCTCATTCTCTCTGAGAAACTTCTACTTAACCTTAAAGGAGAAGAAAGAATGGTTATTTTCTCCTACCTTCAAACAGAAGTGAAGTCAGGAGAGCAAAAAGCACAGAGGAGATCTTCATTTTCCATCAACTCCATAAACTCCTGCAGAAATGCCTCAGAAGAAAAGAAGTCCCAGGTTTCCCCTCACGTCCTTCTTCTCTTCTCCTCTTCACCCCCTCCTAACCGAGGAGTGTAATCTGAAACATTGGACTCTCTGTTTCTACTCAGAAACTCCTCTCCATTCTCCTCCTCTCGGCTCCTCCCCCACTTCTGTCACACTGTAAGAACACATTTGGCAGACACAAACACACAAACACACACACACACACACACACACACAGAGAGAGAGAAAAACAAGGCAGGTGTGTTAGTTAACTCTAAACTAGACCATAAACACACTATTCATCAAAAACTGGAACTCTAGAATACATTTTTAGCAAATAGGACTTAGGTTGGAAATGACTATTAAATTAAATTAGCATAAATACCATAACTGCCCAAAACTGGACCGTGGACCGTGAACTGGCTATTATCAGCTACATCCTAAACTCGTCTAAAATTCACCCCATAATTTTAACTTCAACCAGACCCTAACAACTGAGGTTCTGTTTTATCAGGCCCAAGCTTAAGCCCCGGTCAGAGCGACAGGTCTTTATAAAAACACACACACACAAACGGTATAATCACATACATTTGAGTCTCTGCTTTAGTGAGGAAAATGTAATTTCCTGCACGGGGGAGGGAGGGTGGCAGAGGAGGTGGAGGCTGTGGGGGCAGGACTGACTGTGTTGCAGATTTTGATGCCGGGCAAATCACACTTCCAGCTGTGGAGGTGAGCGGTGCAGACCTCAGTCTCTGTCCAGGCTGTTATTTAGGAACACACACATGCTGACATACAGAATGGTGGAGATTTGTGTGTGGCAGGGGTGGAGGGTGCAACAGTGATGGAGAAGAGCATTCAAAGTGACTTGGATTTTTTATTATTACCCTAAAGTGCTGAGCTGATGTGGGCTCTCACACCAGTCAACACTGGCCCTTGCAGGCTACCCATGATTAATGATGAGTGTGTGTCTGATTGTGTGTTTGTGTGTATCTCTGTTTCTGTCTGCCATCATCACAGTAACCCACAGTCAATCTTTGTCATTGCAGGGTTCAGGAGAAACTTTCCTGTTTTTGGACATGTGTGGACACTTTTGATCAACAGATAGTATTGGAGAGGGTTGATGGAGCCTGGTAAGTGCTGGTCTGGTCTGGTCTGGTCTGGTCTGGTCTGGTGATATCCTTCCCCACTTCATTTAATCTGCAGAGGATTCAGACTAACTTCTGTAAACACAGCACAGATGTTTCAGCTCAGGCATCTTCTTCATGCTTGTTATCACTTCTGCAGACAATTAACAATTTTACTACTACATAAGGAGTTAATAATACAATTATGGAGCAAATGTGTTACGGCTGCCTGTATTCTTTTTGCTTATTGAATCCAAGCTAATTGCTGAAACAACCTATAAACATGCGTAAATCAGTGCAATGACTTGGCAGAGGACGTTGACTGCTCATCAGTGTGTCATACGTACTTCATTTTGTATGGAGGATTAACAGTGCCATATCTCTAGAGAGAGACCAACATTAAAACAGTAACATTCATAGTGGGTGAGAACACAGGTGTAGTAAAATATGTTTTTATAGACAGGCTAGGCTAGGCTTCCGTAGCACACTGTAAACATTTATTACATTTGTCATGTATATGATATTTGGAGACACACAAAACTGAATTATAAAAATGAATTCCCTCTAACAGTCGATTCAATTTCTTTACTTTCCGGCCAATGCTTCCCTCTTGTGGTCAGTACATAAAACATTTTCCTGAAGCAGGTCTGTCAGCGGAGTTGCAAATAATGCATGAAACTGTAGACTAAATATTATGAGTCTACAGACTGTTAGGCTGATCCTTCACCCAGAAGCTGCCACTACATGGGTGGAATCTTTCTGTGGGCCACTTTGTGTGACCTTTGACACTTCATGACCAAGGACTCAGGTATCTTCTGACTGGTTATAAAAATTCACTCACAGGAAGTTTTTAAAGAACCAAATAGCCTCAATTTGTATGTTGTGTATAAAATGGGAACATCTAGAGAAAAACATCAGACAGGAGTTACTCAACACCAAGCAAGATGCAAAACAACACCTGCAATATTCACACATCACATGTTCAGTTCCATGGATACTCTGTGTGTACGTGTGCAGACAACATCATGTCCCAAGTTTGTTGTCAGAGAAGATGTTGGATTTCACAATTTGTTTACAATTAGAAGAGACACAGCAACCTCTCAGTCATGGTGTCATGCTTCCATCTACATTCAAAAGTTGTGCCACAGGAGTCAAAAAGCAAACACTAAAGTTGTTTTTCTAATATACAGGAAATGGCTCTCAAACAACAAAACCAGTGGCCCTCAGATGACGGGCCACAACGGCATCTGGCCCGAGATCCATGTATATGTGGACCACAAGATTACATTCACTGTGTGTATGTTGTTGTGGGTCAACACTTGTAAACATTCAGCCATCTCCATGTTCTGGTCTGCATTTTGTTTTACCTTGGCTTTTGAAATGTTACACTTTTCAAAACTTTGTACCTGTGCATTCTGTATCAACTTTAACAGCCCTAGTTTTCACCTAAGCTGAAGATATTCCTGTAGGGGGGACCTGTTGGTGGTTCTGAGCCTGTGATAACTTTGTTGTCAACCTTGTTGGATGTTTGTCATGTTATCTTCCATCTTATGGTGATTTTAGCTCCACTGCTCCTGAGTGTTTAGAGATAAAGTTGCCGTTGAGCTCAGTGTCACCTCTTACATAATGTGTCATATCCAGAGGGCAAAGCCCAGCAGGGCCAGTGAAGGAGCTCAGAGTGATGGAAACACTGTGAAAAATGAGTTCAAATCTGCAAAAGATTACGTTTCAGTAAAATGTACATTTCATTCCATAACACATTACATTACTGGACCTTGTAGAGCAACAGACACAAGGAAATTATTAAAACATTTTGCAAATAAAAACACAACAAAAAATATCTCTACGTAAACACAACGTGCTAGGTGTTAGTTAATGTTAACAAAAATAAAACAAATTTTGTTTTGAAAAACGTCTAAACAATATCCAATAGAATTCATCAGGAAACATCAATGACTGGCTAAAAGCTAGTTTTAGTCAAAGCTTAGCCTAGACTAGCTTTGTCAGCTTTATTAGCTCCTCCCAACAACACCACAACCATATCTCCCACTGTTTATTAGCGACCACGGCTGTCCAAAAACCCTACACCTGGTTTATTAGTTTGCCAGGGCTTTAGCTGGGCTGAGTCTCTGCCTGCCTGGATGTCTCTGGACCACTTTTCATTAGGTATAAAAGGACATGAACCAGTCTGCCTGCCACCGTCCACACAGTCTCATAGCCAACAAAAACATATGTGAACGTCAATCACAAGGACAACAACAACAAAAGTCAGATCCATTTCCCGGACTGGACTTCATTCTTCCTCGTCTGTTGTTGGGTATCAACTCTCTGCTCCCTGCCTTTAATGACTTCCTTTCTATTTGTCTCACCATGTCTTTGCAGTGCAAAAAAAAGAACATGTTCACATTTCACATTGCTATTATATATTTTATGGATTTTTATTTTTTTGTACCTTTGTACCACCTTTGAATCTTTCCTGAAAGCTTATACCTGGCTGTATAGATGTCTCGGAATAAGGCCCAAACGTATTTGCAGACATTTGGCTTCCCCCCTGGGAGTCTCTGAGTCCAACACTTGCCGAAAGTAACTTTGGCAAAGTTGGAGACTAACTGAGAAAGGTGAAACGCTACAGGGGTAAAAGGGCCAGAAGAGGTTTGGTGTGAGGTGGGACAGGGGGCAGGACCACGACATGTGAGGCCTTCTCCTGGGAGAGAGACTCCAGTCCACACTAATAGAAGAAATGTGCACACACATACAATGTCTGAGTTCACAACATGATATTACCAAACAGCTCAGTAGGAAAAACAATCTCCCTCCAACACAATGCTGGGACTTTTCCCTGGTGAGAAATAAATGTTACAAAACACCTATACAATTTCAATAATTATAGGGTTTTGAAAAAAAACCCTGATTTAATAGGAATTACGGGAATGTTTACATGTTCACTGTTTACCGAGAGACAGCAGTTTTATTGTTGCTATTAAACCACATTTATATATTTTGTCAGAGACTGAGGTTCAAAGGGTATTGAGTTTGTATACGTTTTAAGGATTTTTAAAATAACACTGGAGCAATCTGTGCTTCACAAATGGAACAATGTTAGGTTAAATAAAAAAGATTAAAAAACAATTCCATGTATGTATAAAATTAAATAAGCTGATAGTTAACTACATATTTTCAAAAAGTGGTAAGTATTTTTTTTCAGAATTGAAGTAAAATATTTGTCCAATGTGAAGAGAGCACATGTTGCTGCCCAATGTTAGCCAGCTAGCATGTGCAATGTTAGCTCATGATTGATTACCTGTGGCAGGAAGGTGCAGCAGAGAGACAGGCTGTTACCTGATGAAATACAACGTGACAGGAATAGACCTGCTTATTTATGGTACCTTCACAAACACGTGCTGTGTCTCAGCTTGCACCTAAAACCACACTCACATGTTACTTTTGAGTGTAAAAGTGTATTTTCAGTGACAGCTATAGCAAAATGTGGTTCACTCTGTAGCAAAATGTGGTTTACTCAAAATGGTCAGAAGATTCAATCAACCGTCACCATGTTAGACATGGAGTGGAAGGACAGCAACATCAGAGCAGCACATATGAAAGTTAATGATGTGGAAATTTGACAATTTGAGCAGTTGAATCAAAGCATTTGCTAGAATTTGACACATTTTAAACACATCAAAAACAGTTTTTAAGAGGATGAGATAACCATATCAAACATTGTTGACCACATGGTAAATACTGTTCATAACAAGGAACATGATTTATGTGCACACAAAGCACACAGTCAAAAATCAGTGTCTAATCTAATAACACTTTCACGCGTCTTGTGTCTCATCCAATGACGTCACTAACTTGTCTTCCTGTGACTCACATCGTGTAACAAGTCAACGAAAACTGACCTCCTCATTCCAACACAATCTCATAGCAACAACAGCTGCATCAGTCCTAAAACTAGATGACCCAGTCTTACACTTTCAAGTCCAGTGCACATCCTTGTAAACAGAGCTTGGCCCACAGTCATAATCCCCCATAAACCCCCACTGTGGTCAGATTTGTCATCAGACATCAGACAGACACCACCGGCCAGAGTGGAGCTCCAGGGTCGGTCAGACTAGTTTTTAGAGATGAGTGATGTAATGATCTAAATCAGAGACAGAAGTCTCCCAGGGTGACAAAGGCAGCAGCAGCTAAACATAGGCCAGTACGGTCATGGAAACACAGGAAAACCACCTGGATTCTGTTCACCAACATCTGATCAAATCCCTAACAAAGGTCCAGCACTGTGCAGAAGGTCCTTGTGAGAACCTATCAGCCCCTAGTGCTTGGATACAAAAATAACCAATGACCGTGTCCATTTCATGCTGCTGGTCTGCCCTACCCTGCCACTCGACACCTAGTGCTTATTCCAATGTGAGCTCTCGACCCAAGTCCTGCGTTGCTGCTCAGTTTGGCCACACTGACTTGTCAGTCTATTTTGGTATCTCTTCTGAGCTCTCCAGGCTATCAGGAGCCCCGGCCACATCAGTGCACTTCAACATGAGTCTGAGGTCTTGACTCACTTTGGTGAGTTTTTCCTTGTGTTTTTCCAACCTAAAAGCTCATGACAATTATTTGTTTACCATTTGT